GCTCCAACCCCATCACCGTAGAGGACTAGAAAGCCTTGGGAACCAACCCAAATAAGACTGCTTTAAGGTTTTAAGGGCTTGCCTCCCAGTCAAAATCTAAGGCCACTACAAAAACAAAGGGCTTTTAATCTGGAAACTGGGACCAGCACGTGTTCAACAGCGAAGAATGCTTCAGGCAACTTCCTCCCCATTTCCTTTGCCTCCCTGACAATCCTGGGCCTCCCTGCACCTCTCCAGCTGCTCCTGGAGACACTGTTTGTACAAGCAGGCTTATTAAGGCCTGTCCTTAACTTGACACGGACGACGTCTCTGAATGTCACATGTTAGCGAACCTGCTTGCTTAGCGTAGAACTCTATTTTTAGTAAGCACCAAAAAAACCCCCATGCTACTTTATCCTAGGGCCCCGTTTGTCCCTGTTTGTTTACCAGGCTCTGGCTGACAGAGGCCTGGGGGCCGGGCGAGGGCAGGACCACATCTAACTCGCCTCTGTGCCCCCACAGGGCCTGGCACCAAACCAGCATTCAGGGAGTGTTTGCTGCGAGAATGAGGTTTTAATTGTCCCCTGTGAGTGGGCTGAGAGCAGGTGTTCCTGAGTTGAAGTGCAGGCGACATTACGGAATGGGCTAGAGCAGGGACTGTGTGTGACTCCACCTGGAAATGGCAGAAGAGGCCGTGGAGGGCGGAGGGGGCCTGTGGGGTGGGGTGGGCCGTGCTCCGGCGTGGGAGCTGTGCGTGTGTGCTCTGGCAGCGAGCGCACGTTCCGGGTCCATGGCTTTCATCAGCTTTTTAAAGGGCCGTGACCCCAAAAGTTTAAGGATCCCCGGAATAGACTCTACAAGCAATGACCAGGAGTCTGTTTTCCCTTCCGAAAGGGCAAAGTTGGCAACACGTGAGGGAGCTCACCAAGAGTTAGAGGGGGGGGCGCGCCCGACCCACTGAGGCAAGCCAGACGTGAGCACTCCCAACACGCTCGTCCCTAACACAGCCCGGAGGACAGCGGGCGGCTCTAGAGGGGCGAGGGATTCCCAGTACCCGTCGTCTCTCCCAGCATATCACAGCTGAAGGAAGGAAGAATCCACTGAATTCCCAAGCACGCACAGGACTTAAACCTCTGGCCTGTCGGAAAGCCAGGACCTCCCCTAGACTAAGGTGGAAAAATAAATAAGAAGAATCTGCTTTGCATGACTCGAGGCAAATAAACTTGAAAATCTAGACAGATGAAATGGGTCATCTCTTGAAAAAATACAGTTTACCAAAATTGAATCCAGTGGAAATAGAAAGTACAGACAGACCATTTCCCACGGACGCAATAGAGAAAGCAATCCCGGAACCACCGCATAAAAAGGCACCAGGTCCAGGTGGCTTCCCAGAGGAATTCTATCACAACCTCAGAAAGTGGTTAGCCCCAACCATGCATCAGTCCTGAGCATAGAAAAGAAAAGACGCTTCCACCTAACAACACACAAAAAGGGACGTTGCAAATATCACTCGTGAGTACTGCTGAGAGGAATCTTCAAAAGCTATCAAACCACCGTGGGTCCCTGCACTCTAAGAAAATAAGACACAGTGACCGAGTGAGGTTTATACCAGCAATGTTTTGATGTAAGTCAACATAGTGAGAGCTACGAAGAATAAAGCCATATTTTTCCATGGATGCTAAAAAGTTTGGCATAATTCAACTCCCCTTCCTAGTCAAAACTCTCAAGAAAATAGGAGTGGATGGATACTTCCTTGACAGAATTAAATACATACACCTCGCTCCTAATGCCAACACCAGAGGTACCCCTGCTGACCACTCCCATGACTATGAGCCTGCTGCTGGGGATATCAGCCGATGCAGTCAGACAACAGAGAGCAGTTAGAGGGTCTAGCTCAGTGAGGGATGGGGCCAGCTCCTAAGCTCTACTACATCCCCAGGACAGGTGTTCAATAGTTAGTTAGATGGGTAAATGAATAACGGCTCGCATTAATTGAGCACCTCTCTTAACGAAATCAAGGATTTAACAAAATGCTAGTAGCAAATCACCCTGTGAATGGTTTTAAATGGATTACCCCATCCAAGGCAAACAACTTCAGGAGGTAAGTACTATTACTTCAGCCATTTGACTGATGGGCAAACAGAGGTCCAGAGAGGTTAAATGACCTGCCCAAGATCACCCTTGGTAACTGTCTTAAACCCCCGTGTTGCCACGGTGCAAGGCCCCTTACAAAGCATTTCTCATGCGTCCCCCATCCAAGGAGGGGGTGAGGAAGCCCCCAGAACGCAAGCTGTGGAGGAGGTCTGCCAGGCTCGCACTCTAGTTCTGCCCTGCCCCGGCTCTGACTCCTTCCCCTCTCTGCATCTTAGCATCCTCGTCCGGAACGTGCAGTGACCGCCTGCTGGGCCGGAGGAGTTCTCACACCCGCTCACGAACATCGCTGCAGGCTAAAGTCCCACCAAGTGAGCATGACTTCCCCCAAACTCCCGAAGCACCTTCACCACTTTCTGGCAACGTCTGTGCCATTAACAGCCCTTCTCCTTCCCTGGGTTTTGCCAAACGCATGCCCAGAGCCCAGGGTAACACCTCACATGCATCACCATTATATTGTTCCCTGAGACAAAGTCCTATAGCAAGAATAAGGACCAGTGTTGGCCCTTGGGGAGTTCCACCACCCAGAAGCACAGAGAGGGGACCCCTATTAACATCCGGGTGAGCCAGAGCCAGATCTTCATCTGGAGCCTCCCAGTCTAGCCTCCCCAGGTTCACGAAGTCCCTCCTGAGCCATGAGGTTTCTGCGCTGCCTACCTCGCAGCAAGGTGTCACGCTTTTACAGACTCCAGAGCACCATTCCCCATCCTTCATGCTTGGTGGCACTTAGTAACTTCTTTCCAAAGAGCACAGTTTGGAAAAGAGTGGCTTTACCGCGCAGAGAGCTGACACACTCTACCTCAGCAAGTCCTCAAGGCCAACGTCAACAACAATAAGCCATGTTGATAGTAGGGACCCTCGCTAGGACGTGATGGGGATGGTCGCTTTACCTCTGTGGTCTTCCTCCCCAGAGGCCACGGCCCCTGTCTCACCGTGAGAAACACATTAGAAAGACCCTAACTGGGGGACAGTCTACAACCTGCCAAACCAGTGCTCCTCAGAATCGTCACGCTCTTAGAGAACGAAGGCAGCCTGAATCTGAATAAAGGATGGACTTCAGATCGTAATAATGTATCCTTATTGGTTCATTCATTATTAACGATGCTAATACATACTAATGTAAATGTTAATAATATGGGAAAGTGGGTGCTGGGTACATGGGAACTCTCTGTATTATCTTTACAACTTTTCGGTAAATCTAAAACTGTTCCAAAAAATAAGGTGTTTTTTAAAAAAAAAAAAAACAACAAAACACAGATTCCAGGGCTTTCGCCGTGGTCATTTAGACACCCATCTGGCAGCCACTAAGCGCCACTGCCAAGAAAAACTATAAAAAGCACCTCCCATCGGATTTGGCTTGGAAACTATTTCCCCGGAAATCACCCCCCTGCCAAAAAAAAGTTAGCCGATTATGAATCCAGGAAGGTTGTATGTATTAGTTCCCTGCAAAACATGACTTTAATCTTAACGAACAGAAAGACCACTGATGCTAGAGGGATCATGTGCAGATCTTGAATCGTATCTTTTCAAAGCAAAGGATGGCCTCCAGATTGCAACTCGAGAAGGCGGGCCTCTCTTGCTGGCTAATTATTTCCGTCTCCAGCCAAAATACAGAATAATTACTAATTACTGTCTTCACTTGGCATCCACGTGAAGGGAACCCCTGAGGCCAAAGAGAGCCCCTCACCTAAGGCGGCCTGCGGAGGCGCCTGGAAGGGTAGTTAGAGCTTCTCATTCACCTGCCAGCGGAGCATCTCTGGGAAACCGCGAGCCCCCAGCCCCAGCCCGCCCCCACGCCCACCCCCAGGTGGGCCAACAGGCGGCCTACACAGCCGGCCAGCACAGCCCCTTCCCGACTCCGCAGCGCCGAGCCCCAGTGCATCTGGAAGTTACCAGCAGGCCTGCCCCTGAGGCTGCAACAAGTATTGGCTCGGCTGGGCTGTCAAAATCAGGAAGCCTGGTTGGGTTTTTTTGTTTTTTTTCCAAGACAACCTGCTAACCAGAAAAATACAGCGAGGCTGAGCATGCGGCCTCCCTCTCCGCCTTCTGACAAAGGCTCCTGTTGAACACGTGAAGTGACAGCCCAGCCTGGGGACGTCCCCAGCCCCCGGCAGCAGAGGGCACTGGAAGGCACAGACGGACGGGCAGACTCCTTAGGCAGAGCCTGGCAGGAGCCACAGGCCAGCTCCCCTTCCTCCCCCACCTTCCCTCCCAGCCCCCACATCCAGCATGACTGTAGGGCGCGGATCGCGCGAATAAGCTCAGCCTGATCGCGGGGCACTGGCAAAGGCCGCAGCACCACCGGGGAGGAAATGGGCCGGCCTCCTGACAGCAAAGTCAAACCACACTCGAGCACTAGACGCAGACAACCTCTTCCTTTAGTTTCAACACAGAGTCCCCAACAAAGGCTGCCGGTACCTGCCGGGGCGGGGGGGATCCGCTTTCGCCTGCCCTGATAACGACGTTCAGTGGCAACCTCGTTGCGCACCGGCCCCCTCCAAGCAACTCCATTCTTTGGCTTCCTCGCCTCCTCCCTCCAAAGCAGAATCGGTCACTCCCTTTGCTGTCTGACTACCCGGCAGCACGAGGCCAGCTGAGCCCCCTGCCACCTTTGGCCACCTCCTCCCTCAGGGAGAAGTCACAAGTAATTGGAAACGGATGCCCTCCGGGGCCAGGGCGGGCCTACCGCCCCCTAAGGGGGGGGGGGGCGGCAGTCCCTGAGCCTTGCACTCTCCCTCTCACCTGGGGACAGGCACCCCTCACCAAGCCCCCCAGAACTGGGACATCTGGAGCAGAGGGGCCCTGTGCCGACTCCCCAGGCCCAAGCCCCAGCCCAGGCTGGGGGCCGGGCCGGGGGAGCCTCCACCGACCTTCAGGAGGGTTCACATAGTCATAGCTGAAGAGCATGGAGAAGTCCAGCTCTTCCTGGGGGCTGCCCCCAGGCTCGTGGCCCAGGGCGTCCCTTCCATCGGGGTCCGGCTGCTGTTCTGGAGCTTCCATGGTGCGCAGGAGGCAGGAGGGCTGTGGGGCCGGGACGCAGGCAGGCTCAGCTTTCTCCTGGGGCTGGCAAAGTGGCAGGAAGCGGACGGAGAGGCGGGTGGAGTGGTGGGGGTCACTGTCCTCGTGGGGATGGACGCGGGGTCCGGGATGGCGTGCCTGGCTCAGCGGGGCTGGACGCGCCGGGGAGCTGAGCAGCCGCCGCGGCGCAGCGTGAGCTTCCTGCTCCGGGAGGCACCTGTTGCAGCCCTGGGAGGGGGGAGGCGGGGACAGGGCGGCCAGGCCAGCGGGGGCGGGGCCGCCACCCAGGGACCCAGGGGAGGGAGGGGGAGGGAGGGGGAGGGAGGGGGAGGCGGGCGGCACGGGCTAGCCAGCGCCCCGCAGGAAGGAGGCCGTCTGTCTGCCTGCCGCCCTGGCCCCCAGCTCAGCCGCTGGCTGGGGGCCACGGCCGGCACTCGGGCACAGCCGCTCTGCTCCCGGAGGGCACTGCCTGCCACCCTCCGGGGGTGAGTGCTGCTGGCCTTGCCCCACCCAGAATCCAGACAAGAAAGCTGCTGCCACTTGCAGTTTTGCCCTACTGACCAGCTGACCCCAGCCTTTCCCCTCGTTTCTTCTCCAAGGGGGCATATCTGTAACTCTCTGTGCCCCTGAGTGCCCACAGCTCATGATTTTAGGCATGATGTTCACTAAGAGTTCAGTCACCTGCATGCCCCTCACTCAGTCTCCCCGCACCTGGGAAAGAATCATAGGTACTCAAAGCACAAGTCCCATCTATACCCCTTGGCCACCCTCCTATCCTGTGCCAGGTGCCAGGTGCCAGGGACACAGCATGAACGGGATGCCGTGGCCCCAGAGAAGCTTGGGTTCTGGTGGGGGACAGGCATGAAGGAAACATGCGAGAGAGCAGAGACAGCCTCCTACAGGGTGTCAGGAGAGGATCTCCCCAGGGGCACGGCAGAGACGGGGGAGGCGTCGGTGATTTCTGTGGTCACGCGGGATCTCTCTGGGAAGGGGACATTTGGAGGAGCCTCGTTGATGGGTGGATCGGGGGAAGACTGTTCTGGCAGCGGGAACCGAAAGAAGGCAGGAGCCGGCGGGAGCTCAGCATGTTCCAGACTCAGCGAGCAAGGAGGGCAGCCGCCGGAAACAAGCGCTCCCGGACCCCGGTTGAACACAGATTCCCAGGGCCCTGGCTGGAGCTTCTATTCCAAAAGTCTGGAATAGAGGCTGAGGAACGGGCATTTTTAAGCACGCACCCAAGGTGAATGTTATGAACAGGTATGTTTAGGGGTGTACTCCATACACACCCAGCCCCATCCCCTAACAAAACAATCCCAGGGCTCTGGGACAGGGTAGCTGAAGTCAGACAACAGGCTCTCGGAGGTAGAAAAGACTAGAATAGTGGCTTTACCCCTTATAGCCGTTAGACTCACCCGAGATTTTTTTTTAAAAGTTTGTGCCCAGGTTTCACTCCAAACCCAATGAACCAAAACATCGAAAGGCTGTTTTGTTTTGTTTTGTTTTGTTTTGTTGTTTTTAATGACCTCAGAGGAATCTAACGTGCAGGGGGTGTTAAGAATCACTGGCTCAGAAGAGTGGGCGGAAGAGGTTTGGGGATTCCCTGCGCTTGACCTTGTGTGGGGACTGACTCTAAACCATTCCCCGTGAACAGAGGCATGAAGAATACGCACTCCTGGCGGGGGAGGGGCGTCTCTGCTCTATTAAGGGACGTGTGCAAAGCTATCCATCGCCATTCACTCCACAGATAGTTTTTGAGCACCCGCTAGGCACCGGGCCCCGCGACAGGTCACGGGGATGCAGCCATCCTCCGGCCACAGCCGCTCCCCTCCTCCTGCTTCCGTCCCAGAAGCAAAGAGGCGCAGCCTTGAATAGGTGTTCCCCAATTGCACCGAGACCGCTGGTTTTTAACCCAGGCTGCACATTAGACTCCCCTGGGGAGCGGTGAATAAATCCAAGGGGTTGGGCCCCACCAGAGACCGGCTATAATCGGAATGTGTGAGGGCGGGGCCTGGGCCTCAGTATTTGGCAAAAGCTCCCCGGATGGCTTCCAGTGTGCGGCCAGGGGTCAGCACCCCTGGTTTCAACTCAAACTCCATTCCCGGGACCGGGGTCTGGCTCAGGACTCGCCAGCTTTCAGAGTCTTGGGAAGCACTTTCTGGTTGCCGGACTACAGAGAAATTCTCTTCTTTGTTTCCTAAGCATAAGCACAGCTATACTGGGTGTATCCAACAAGCATCTTAGGGGGTCGGTAATAAATTTAGGGGGGATAACACAGGCGAGGACGCGTCGTCAAGGCATCTAGAAGATGGATGCTCTCAGGCCTGATCACAGGGCCCCAAGTGCAGCCCCCGAAACCTGGCCGGGGGGGGGGGGGAGAAGCCACGGGCCTGCCCTCACGTGCGCACCTGGCCTCCCACCGCCCTCACTCACCTCCCGGTCCTGAATGAGTGAACGCCTCCGCGCCAGGGGGCGTGGGTTGGCGCTGCCTGCCCGGGATCCCCCACCTTCTTCTGAGACAGCCCCCCGGTGGGCCCCTTTGGGGAGCTACTCAGCCTAGCTTGGTCCTGCCTAAAAGCAAACATCTGGGGGGCGCCGGCCCCTGCCCCGCGGCCCCTATCCTGAAGGCTCGGAGTCCTGAGGCCCCTTCAAGCTGGCCCTGCAGGGACCCGCCACCCTCAGCTCCACCCCCCTTTCCCCATTTGGTATAAAGCTGATTTTTATCGACAGGCTGGACCTCTCCCCCGAAATCTGGGCTCAGACGTCCCACTGTCCCCCCAACATCTCCACGTGGGTGTCCAACAGGCATTTCAAAGGGAACACGTCCCCGCCAAACCCTGGTACCCTCTGACGCGCCCCCCGTGTGCCCAGCTCAGGTACTCCCTGCGCCTCCATCCAGTTCTCCGGCCGAACACCCAGGAGTAGCCCTGGGCCCCTCTCCTCTCACCCACACGCACACCCTCAGCAAGTCCAGGCAGCTCCATCTTCAAAGTACAACCCAAATCCAACCATTGCTCACCAACTTCACTGTCCGTCCTCCCGCCAGGTGATCCCAAATCCCCATCGCCTTCCACCTGGACGACTGCGGTGGCCCCTCCCCGCTCTTGCTACCACCTTGGCCCTGACACAGAACAGCGGCGGGTCCTTTCAGAACAGACATCCCAGCACCCCTCCCCTGGCTTCCCGTGAAGCGTGACTACAAACGCTGCGCCTACCAGGGCAGCGGCCCCACCGCACCCCCCTTGGTGTCTGTCACCTGTCATAACCCCCTCCTCTTACTGCCTGCCTTCTGCCACTGGGAACCTCCTGTATTGCCCCCGCCTGTATTATATTTGGTCTGCCCTGTAATTTTTCTTAAAAATCTGAAGTCACATTTTTTAATTGAGAGATTTCACATAAAAATCCAAATATCCAGTGTCTCCTTGTGAAAAACGGGATGATCTGCCCACAGCAGACGGACCGGTCCTCTGGAGCTGAGACCAGCCCTTTCAGGTCCCCAGAGACCCCACCCAGCTGCCCCCGCCTGTCCCCATGAGCGCATGAGCTTCAGACCCTGGTCTCCAAGCTCTTGCCTCCTCCTCCCTTTTCATTCCCTGCTGCACAGCACGGTCCCCTCTGCCCTGTGGAACTGATCTTTAACAAGGGCACACGGTCGGCGAACTCACCTCTGCCTCAAACTGCTCTCCTTGGCTTTAATTAAACAGGAGATGCCACCATCCCCAAAGCTGGGGAGCTTCGTCCCCTACTGAGCCGCAGCCCTAAGGGCAGGTTAGGTAGGGCGTGGAGCAATGGTGAGTCTCTGCCCACGGCCCCCCGCAACTCTTTCTCAACCATCCACCTCCACACTGTCCCCAGTGCCCCGCTCCTGTCCCTCAGTCTGTCTTCCTACATGACAGCACCCCGCAGTCCCAACGTGTCTGCCTCATCTCCCTTCTCTCCCCTGCCCTGGTCTTGGCAGGCTCTCACATCTGTGTCGGCGTCATAGTCTCTGAACCTGCCAGTGACAAGAACAAGCAAGCTGACTCGGCCAGGGCTCCCTTCAGCACGACCACAGTCTGCCTGTCCCCCCAAAGCGCGCGCGGCACGTCCTCTGGCTTCTCGCTCTTGCTCTCTCCTGACAGAGCCATCACTGGACTTCGCTACACTTTCACCGAGCACGTCAATGGCTTCCTATGAGAGTGTGTCTCCCCTCCTTGACCAAAAAAAAAAAAAAAAGAAAGAAATATCTTTACCTGATGTTCAAATGCAGATGAGCATGTCTTACTGACACACAGGGTAGGTAGTCTCCTCAGCGCCTCCAGGGAGCCTTGCAGCTAGAACACCCTCCACAAACACCTCCGGACTCACGAGGCCAGTGACAGAAGTAGACGGCCCAGAACCCCCTGGGAGGACCCCAGGGAGTTGGAGGGAAAGGGATTTATCCCCTTCAGGAAGGTCTCCTGAAGGTTATTAGGCTGAAGGAAAGTAATAGCTTCCATTTAAAACAGCAAAAGAGCAGTGAAAATGGCAGCTGAGCTCAGCGGGCCACGCTGCATACGCGGAGAGCATCGCGGACACGCTCTGTGGGCCCCCCATGCGTGAGGACCGCTGTGACCCCCACTAAGGCGCAGGGGAGGCTGCAGTGTTGTTCCTTTTAAAAGTCACACGTGCCACCACAGAAATGATTTTGTCCCACAGGAATCTGATCCTCATTACTGAGTCACATTGTTCCTGGGCTTTTAGCGGAGGGTGGATTTGCTAAGAAACATTTTTGGACCAAGATGAAACGCAACAGAAGAGTCTTATGACTCCCAGTGATAACAGAGGGTGAAGGGGAGCTGACGCGGGGAATCAGGCCGGGCGGAGAGGAAGGCGCGTCGGAGGGGTTCATGTAACTCGCAGAATTAGCGGCATCCACGCTGGGGTGTCATAGGCAGACAACGTCCCTGCGGAACGCTGGCGCTCAAGGGAACACCGTCTGAGAACCGCAAAGGAGAATGCACCGTGGACTAGGAGCACCACGCTCCCCTCCTCCTCCCGCACACGGGTCCCGGCCCCCGGAGATTCCTGCCTGGCCCCTGCAGCCGCCCACCGGCGTCCTGAGCATTCACGCTTACCTGGCTGGCGGCTGCGCTCCACCTAATGGTCAATACGGTCCTTGCCACGATGCACAAGATCACACCCCTGCTGCCTGAAACCCCCGAGTGCTTCCCCACTGCCCTCCGC